GATTTTTTAGATATTAATAAGTATTTGTCGTAAAAAAAAGTATAGTATGCAACTCGTTTATAAACTTTTCTAGGCACTCATTTAATTAAGCACTCGCTCATGGCTACTTACTTTTAAATGGTTTATTTATTAATATTTTGGCTCTAATTAGATTAATTGTCTGTATTTAAATACTATTATTTTTTTTATAATTTTTACCTTAATTTTTGAACAAATGTAATACCCAAAGAAATGACAGAATGTTTTTGCAAAATCTTCGATAACATATATAAAGAGAGAATTCATATTTTTACAAGTTTGACCTTAATTTTTGACCATACTGTATACAAATTTAGATTACTACGAACTAAATTTAATCAAATTGAATTAAATACATACCGAATTGTCGCCAATTAAAATGAAACATACTGTATAATATGGACTTTGTTTTAAAAATTGTTATGAAATTGTGACCCTTGGTAAATTCATTCGCAACAAAAAAAATCATTTATTTGAAATTTATCAAAAAATCATAAAGTTCTTGTAGTTTTTCAATGAATTGAGAAACTCTTGTACCTACCAAAAGTGTTCTGAATTTAATTAAGACAATATGAATAATTATTAAATTTTATTTTTATTTAAAGAAGAAATATGAAATTCTTAAATTAAAATGCATGTAATTAATGCTTTTCTGATTTCTTTAATTTAACGTTTTATGGGTTTCAATAGAGAGTCGAATATTAAAGAAAAAGCTATTGTATTTTTATCTTTAAAATTTGACACGAAATAAAAACTTCTAAAAACATTAATTATAAGTAATCCAAACTTTTAAGACTTGAATTGCGTTTTTAAAAATTGTGAATAAAAACTTTTAATATTTCACCTTTATATAAGAACCTAATAAAATACCTTTTTTAATTATTGATCATGTATTAAAAAGAAAACTTTCTAAAGAAAATTCAAAGAGGTTTAATGTACACACAACCTGGTCTATTGATGGTTATTGGCGAAATATTTTTATTCCCACGTAAATCAGCCCAGAAAAGTTGAAAGTATTGCCGATACGATTTATTATTCTGTTTTTTATACTCACTCAGCCGTACATAAAATGGCTTTACATCGCCATAGACGTCACCGCAAATATATCAATCATTATGGATTTTATTATTACGGTTTTCTTCGAGCATTTATAAGACCACAAAACGATATTTTAATTTTTTCCGCAGAATTCGTGAGTAATGGAATCAATAGGGAAATCAAAGAGGATTTAATCAGCAGATGTGTAAAGGAAAATTATATTCATATTTAAATGTTGCAATAACAAAAATGAAAATTTTTAATAACATTAATTAAAAGTATTAAAAATATTTATTATTATTCTTTTGATATTTCCTTAATAGAAGTTAGTTAGAATTTTAGTTACCACCTTTTTGCTTAACACAGTGGTGTAAACAGCTGGCGCATACGGTTTTTAAGAGTGGAATCAATTTTATGTATAGATAATTTTTTATGTTTATTCTTGTATAAGAAAAAAATAATGATTTTACACATTTCTGAGGCGCCGTTTTATTTTTTATTCAGAAAATATTCTTATGCGTTATATTACTAAAGTAATATTTTCAATTGGATCAAAAATATCATATAAGAATTTTTATTCTGCGATATACATAAAAAAATTGCTATGTATATGTAGATATAGGTTGCAGAAAGAATTATATAAAAAACAGTTTTTCTATTACTTAAACAAGATTAATAGAAATCGCTAAGCGGTAATATAATACTTTATAATAATAATAATTATTGTAATACTATATCTATTTTGTAAACCAATATGCACCATATGGTGCATATATATGTGCCTATTAATTACACTGCATAGGTATAACGTATTTATATTAACCCTTAAAATCTAAAGATATTCTTATACAATATAAAATACAGAACACATAAACTTAAAAGCAAGGCAACTTTTAAAATATTCTAATATAAAAGCTTTATTAAAAAGCTTACTCTGCTTAAAAATGACCGTATAGGTTTAATGGTGCGATTTTAGTGGTTATGAAATTTTAATAGAAATTCCATCCATTAAAGTTAATTAGGCTATAACTATTAAGGCAATTCTCACAAAAACGACTATAACCAAAATCAAAGTTAAGATTTTGGGTTTATTATAATACCTACCTGGTGGTCAAGTTTATAATATTAGAATTATTCAAAAAATTACTTATTTATATAAGTTTTGATATTGAAATATTAGTTGCTGGGCACATCATCGTAATTTTTCATTTTCACATTGGTCAAAGTTTAAAGTTTGTTTTAATTAATAATAACACAAATTAATAAATATATTTAAATAGACAAGTATGTTACATTAATATTGTTCACGGTATTTATATAAAAAGGTTAAAATCGGTATAATTTGAACTATTCTGCGTGTTACAAACAATTTTTTTTTAACTTTGACCTAAGATATCTTTTGAAAGGTCAGGTTTACAAAAAAGCATAAAATAACTTTTTTGTAGAAAATTTTATTCCACATTACGTAAATAGAAGTCTTTTGAGGTGCCTGGCAACCAATTTTTTAATATTAGTAATTAAAAAAAGAATTAATTTTTGAATTACTAAAATACACAATCACAACAATTTTAATGATGATTTTAATGATTTTTTACATTTTTACTTTAGTTTTGGCAGGGTGCTAAAGTAAGACGTTTTTTTCCTGAAATTTGTGACACCAGATGGGGTGCATCAGCAATAATATCTCAATATAATATATCAATTAAAACATGCTATCTTTTCTGAATATTTTTTTTCCATGTTATTATCTCTATTATAATCAATGATAAACATCTCAATAACGATGCTATAATATACATTTTTATTTAAATACAGGGTGCAAAAATAAAAAGACTTTTTTTCCCAAAATTTAGGATGTCAATTGGAATTTACCATGAAGAGAAAAACAAATGGCCCAAGATTGGCCCAATTTTGACCCAATTCTACTCTGGCCCAAGCTTTAAAGCCCGACTGGCTAGGTAGTATTGGGTCAAGACTAGTAATGAACCTCTGGCTCAGGACAAAGCTTGGCTCTGTTGTTAGTCTTGGCTTTTTCTACTTGGCTTACTTTTTTGAACATTTTGTTTTTGTTAAGTTATTAAATATGAGTTAACCATGAAAAAAACATTAAAAAAAAATTATACTTATAGTAATAGTACCATGTTCATATTGGTTTAATTTTATTTCAATATTTTTTTCATGGATAACTTGACGAAATAAATTTTTTTACTTAAAATTTTTCAATAAAATTTAGTATAGGGTCGTTTTGAAGGGTGGTGAATCCAGTGCGGTGCTTAGATTTTGTTTAAAAAAATCGCTAATTTGAATTTTTAAAAACTTACATGGTAGTCCTTTTATTTTGTAAAAATTTTGCTCCAAAAATACAGTTTATCAAGATCTGCACTTTAAAACAAGTCCGGTTAAAATCGCACAATAAATAAAAATTTTACAGGGGTGAGTTGCAAACAAATGGGTCACACTTTATATACATATATACACATAATATATATATTTTTTATTTTTTTCATTAAAATTAATTTTTAATATTATATTATTAATTATTTTATTTTGTTGGTAATGCTCGATTTTGTATAAAAATAATATTTGCATTTTTATATACCTAATATATTAATATTATAAACATTATTTATTTTTAATGGAAAACTCGAGTATCACAAAACTGCATTTACACTATAAATTTTATATTTTTTAAATTAAGATTTGCAAAACATAAAATTATAAATTGACGAGCATTTTTAAAATTCTGCCTACAAAGATAAAGCGCAGGTTTTAATGCACATGTCAGCATTTATGTTAAAAATGCGTTTTACGTTGGTAAAATCGGAATCCGCGACCTCTGGAGTAATAAAAATGACATAAACTGTCTTTTATGAAAATAGCCGAGCCTTTTGTCTAAATTGGAATAAATTTGTAATACGTTTTTTTGATTACACGGAGAGAAAAGTATCATGCTGATTACCATAATTATAATACCCTTTACTATAATTTATATTACTTTTTGGGACAATTATCTTGTATATTGCCAGATACTATGCATATTTAGTAATTTTTTAATATCCATGTATGTTAAACCTTAAGGTAAAATATTATTATTCTCAACAAATTGTATTTTTAATTTTTATTATAATTAGAATTTTTCCATTTCTAATAAGTATAGTAAATTTTAAAATATTATGTTGTCATTTTAAATATAAAATATTTTAAAATCGAATATTTTTTATGTTAACAATTAAAAATTGTAACATATTTATTGTACTTTTTAATATACAAAAATGTTATGAGAAAGAATTGAACCTACACCTCGCCAAAGTTTTTTGTTTTGAGTGCGTTCCGTCAACTTTAAATACCGACAGACAGGTGTTTTGACCTATATTGGGTATCATCAGTGTCGACACGACACTGTCGAGCAACTTGTAGTAGTGGAACACAACCAAAACAAAGAATTACCTGAGCTTATATAACATGGTTGGTAAGCCAACAGAGGCGAGATGTAAGAACATCCCGTGATCCACACCGTCTAACGACGCGTCGCGACGCGGCCTTTGCCGCAATCGGTACATACTATGCAACCAAGTAGGTTCAATTATTTCATAAGTATTACCAGTAATGGGTCAAGAAAGTTTATTGAAGAAACTAAGAAAATTTAATGTTTAAAATGTCATGAGTTACTATATTGTTTATTTACCTTAAACATAAAAGTATCTTTATTTTTACTATATTTTTTATTAATGTGTAATATATTATAATATTAGATGTACACCTTACATTATTTTGACTTATTTAACTTAAATTTCTTTCTAATAAAAACGTGTTTTTTGACCGCAAATTCGGGTGAAAAACGTGTTTTCAGAGGGTGTCTAACCCTGTTTGTTTAGTAATTTACGGTTTATGTGGCGGAATTCACACGTGTATCCGGTGTTTTCCGAGGTTTGTGCACGGCTCACCTGACGTGTTAATCCAAAAATCCCTGGGCGACCACGAAATAAACACAAAAACACCGGCGCAGTTCCGCGGTATCGCGCTCTCTCCAACGCACGCACTGTCACACAGAATCACTAAAAAGACGCCGCCGAAAAGCGACGCTTGCCACGACGTCGCTCGCGCTGCAACAACAGAACTGACTCTCGCGGATCGGGTGAGCTTTGAAACGCCGACGCCCCTTGGCGCCGGGTCGGAAGGCGTCACTACGCCGGTCCACTGGATTATTATCTTAGAAGTTGAGATATTCGGGTGTTGGGGACACGAGAAATACTGATATACGTTATTACGGCACGATTGGTATAGGACTCTCTCGCAGGCTAAAGGGGACACAATTTATTTCCTCTGAGAATATTTTTGATGGGCCACCACGATTTTATAACTCATAATTTTAACCATAATACATTTTTACAAATATTATCCAGAACATCAATTTGTTAATCCATAACTAGAGATGGGATTTTAGGTTGCAAAATATATTAAAATAGGTACCTAAATAGGTCAAGTTTTTTCTTGCTTTAGGTGAGAAAATTCTTAACTTTACGAAAATAAGTACTTAACTTTTAGGTGGTAAAATAATTAAATTTTTTTATTGTATAAAATTGTATTGAACAAGATTGTTATGATTTGAAAAATTTAAAAATAACTGACGAAAATATTAGAATAGAATAGAATATTAGACTGGGCCAAAAAAAATGACTATTTTTTTTTTTTTTTGAAAATATATCGAGAATGTCATTCAGAATGACAAAAAAAATTTTGGTGAAAATTTGAGCCCTTAATATTAATTTTAAGAGGTCTATCATCACCATTTTTGATTTTTAGTCATAATTTGATGTTTTACGTTCAAAAGTTATTCACGAAGAAAAAATTTAAATTTTAAGTTTTTCTTCGATTTAAATCGTGAATAACTTTTGAAGAATTAAATTTAGGCAAAAATGTTAGGAGACCTTTTTTGTAGAACATGAAATTTCCTTTAAGAATCCGAAGTAAGCTTTCCTAAATATTCATTGGTTCATTAGTTACAAAATATTAAAGATAAAGGGCCAATCGAAAAAATACATCGATTTATTAAGCTCAATTACTCGGAAACGGCTCGTCTTACAAAAATTTTCAATCAAACCTTTTTTGTAGAAAATTTAATTTTATATCAAAGTAAGTAAAAATAAATTTTTTGCACTTCAATGTTTTGACAGTTCTAACGTAAAACATTAAATTATGACTAAAAATCAAAAATAGTGATGATAGAATTCTTAAAATTAATATTAAGGGCTCAAATTTTCACCAAATTTTTTTTTGTCATTCTGAATGACATTCTCGATATATTTTTGGTAAAATTTAAAAATTTAGTTCATTTCTGTTAAAAATAAAAAAAAAATATGTTTAGGTAGTAAAATGTAAAAATTAGGTCCATTTCTCTTAAAAATAAAAATTTTGGTAAAATAGGTAAAATAAAATCAGGCTCAAATAAAATCATTTTCTTTAGAACGGATTTTATTCCATTGCACCTAAAGTTATGATAACGTCCGAATTAATAATAAATTTATTAATAACTCTCAAATTCCATCATTATTTTTCGTAGATTGACCAGATCCAAATAAATCTCTCTTTTAATAATAATTATTGTAGGTATAATTATTGTAGGTATATACGGAGCCCGGTAAATAGAAATAAAAAAGAAATATTTAAAATATAAAACATTAATCAAATAAAAATTAAATTCATTTAGAACAATAGTTTTAACTACAATTTAGAAGTTACCACTCATCTAAACTGCGCACCACTCAATGTGTCGCGACCAAAAAGTTCATTGTTTTTTAAAACGATATAACTTTTTTGTTTCTTGAACGATTTTATTTTGGTCTGTGATGTCTGCTAGCCTCATCCTCTGGCAATTCATACTATAGATATGAAGCTCACGGTTCGTCAAATAAATTTCCTACAGAGGGATATGTTAAACGGTGAAAAATTTCAATAAATTCATCCAAGCCGCGTTTGTAAAAAAATAATTTTTTTCTCGTTTTTATTTTGAAATAATGAAGTATTATGTGTTATCCTGAAATGTTTTTTTAGTTTTTCGAATTGGAATCTTAGCAACGACGATATGATTTTTTTTTCGGATTTTAAAGACATTTAACAGCCGGGAATTGTTTTAGAATTTTGATTCTTGGTGATTTTGGTTTTATCTGAAACTTAAATTTGAGAACTGAATCACAATCACAAAGGTCAAAATTATAAAGATTACATGTCACGAACGTAAATAATGGTTTAGTTTTCGCAAATTTTTACCAAAATGTCATTTTGAAAAAGTGGTCTTTACTTAGGCCCCTTTGAAAATAATGTTTGTTGCTTGTCGCTTGTTCAGAATTATCCAAGGAACAATCTTTCACCATCTTATTTTCTTGTTCTTAAAATGACTGAGTGTATTGCCTACCAAAAAGCCTTAAATGTACTCTTTTGTAAAAAAAATCAGATTTTCATTGCTAAGATTCCAATTCGAAAAATTTTAAAACTTTTTCAAGGTAAGACATAATTCTTCATTATTTCAAAGTAAAAACGAGAAAATATATTTCTTTTTTTAAAGGAAACCGTGGGCTTAATATCTATAGCATGAATTGCCAGAGGATGGGGTTAGCATACATCACAGACCAAAATAAAATCGTTCAAGAAACAAAAAAGTTAATATATGAATAAAAACAACACTGTTTTAAAGTTTCACTAATTTATTTATGTTTTTAATGAAAAAATATCACTACATTTTTTTTTCTAAAAATATTACTTTATTATTATTTTTATACCTTATTTTTTTATTACCTTAAATGTATTTATTTTTTAATGGACGCTGGTGGTTTTTCAGTAACCTTAACCTAAACTATAGTTTAAAAACTTTTATATTCAAAATTAATTATTTTCTCGTAATAACAATTATTATGTAACCAACCCACGGGTTAATGGTTATTATATTTAGTTTTAAAACAAATAAATAAAACTTAAACTATAGCAATTAATTTTGGCATTAGTTTCTTTCCCGGCCTAAAATTTTAATTATTTGCTATTAGGTACTTTTAAACTAGAACCCAAAAGATTTATTCTCTTCTTTACTGCAACTTCTAAGCAGGAAATTGAAAAGTAATAGGATTCGTTTTTACGGCTCCTGATTTTTTGTTATAATTAAAATTGATTTAAAAATTAATCAAAAGTTTCCAATGCAGCAGATAGGATTCTATTTTAGAGTTAAATTAAAAAGTATGTTCGATGTCAATCAACTCTCGCGATTTACATCATTGATGGCATTGAGGACAAAATTTTAATTTAAATTTAAAAATAGTGATGCAAAGTATGCTTTTTGGCGAATACTAAACGGCTTAATAATACATAGAGTTTATAATCCACTGTTAAAAAAAAATAATTGAAACTTATTATACTTTGTACAGAAAATTATTTCTGTTAATAACTTTTTTTACTCAAAAAGAATAAAACCAATTTTTATTTTTACCTACAATTCCTACAAATCAAGGGTGTGTTCTTTTACACACAATTTACTGAATGATTGAATTTTTTCTCCACAATGATCTGTTTGAAAGGCGATATTTGTAGTAAAGGAATCAAGATAAAATTGATTCGTTTGGCGGTGTCAAACTTTTAGTATTTTTTTTAAATTTTGTGTTTTGTCTATTGACTAAAAAACACGCATAGTTTTATACTTAAATTTTACAATAATTTGATTTTATATTTATAAAAAAATTCTAGTGAAATTATTTTACAGAATTTTAATAATTAATAATTAAATTTTCATAACACTTCAATAGCATGTCGTTTAAAATTATAATAATGATTTATAAATCCTATTGAATATTATTTACATTATTTGTAATTTTTCCGTAAATAATGATAACCAATAACCGCCTAACAACAGGAATAATGAACTCATTATTAACGTTGTTAGGTAACAGTTATTGGCAGATTTAATTATTCACTGTTAACAACGATTTCAGTAACGCATAAACCCAAAATATAATAATTTAATTTTGCAAGTTATTTTATGAAGAAATTTTCCTTTTTATTATTTATAAAAATAATTTTGTTCATTGCATGAAAAAGTACCGGCGTATTAATTTAATTTGATACTGCCTTCAGGGTAAACATATTTATATACCGTAAATTTTAGTATATTATATATTTTTACCCAAACAATGTTGGCCATCTTTTTTTATCTTATGCTCATATTTCAGTTTTTATGATGTTGACTTTTAATGTGCTGGTGAATGCCAAGAAATTTAAATTGGGATTTTAGTTAGCTGGTAATATTATATTATCTAAAAATCCATTAAAATCCAGCAAAAGATGTATTGAGTTAAACATCTCCTTCATAAAGGTACTAATCTAGTGATTAGTGATTATTTTTTACAAAAACAAAAATAAAACTGCAATTTTTCCTACGTAAAATACATACAATTGAATATGTAAATCAGATACTAACCAAATCTGAACATGAAAGCATAAATATTAAAATAAGACAAACCGAAAAGATGCCAACAACTCTCAATGGATTTGACAAAAAAGGGAGGCTAAAATCTACAAACAATTTGAATACGGATGCTTTTCAACCTCAAAATATCGATAAACGTAAAATATTGTCTTCGTATTTCAATACTTGCTCGTGTATTTGTAGTTTTTACACGAGGAACACAGCAATTTATAAGGCTTAAACTTTGTATATTTCTGTGTAAGTTTCTCGAAAGTGATATTTATGTTAAAACAAGAAAAATTCGAAATGAAAAGTTGGAATATCAAATCATTTTTCCTTGTCCTGTGACGCGCTTTGAGATTTAAGTTTTCCAATTTATATAAAATAAACAACAAAATTTATAAAAATTTATCATTTTATTTAATTGGCTTTATAATCTCGGGTTTTTTATTTGTATTATATAGCTTAATTTAACACTAAACATTTTACCATTAATTAAATTAAGTTAAACATATTTTGCAAAAAATATTAATTATTATCTCTATCCCTCTCATACTTATTCAATCACTTACTCCTCGTTCCTGCAATATTTTTTTAATATTCACTAATCATTTAGGGGTCTTGCTTGTGGCTGAGTGTTGTTATTTCGCTGTTGTTATT